GAGACCTCGCCGTCCCTGGGTGGGGGTGCTGCGATCTGCGAGACTGTCGCCACTTTCGAGGGCTGCTGGTGGGTCCAGGGAAGTGAGGCACCGCGCAGATCTGAGCGAGACCTCGCCGTCCCTGGAGGGCTGCGATCTTTCGAGGGCTGCTGGTGGGTCCAGGGAAGTGAGGCACCGCGCAGATCTGAGCGAGACCTCGCCGTCTTTTGAGGGGTGGCTGCGATCTGCGACACTGTCGCCACTTTCGAGGGCTGCTGGTGGGTCCAGCTGAGTGAGGCTCCGCGCAGATCTGAGCGATACCTCGCCGTCCCTGGCGGGGCTGCGATCTGCGAGACTGTCGCCACTTTCGCGGGCTGCTGGTGGGTCCAGCGGAGTGGGGCACCGTGCAGATCTGAGGGAGACCTCGCCGTCCCTGGGGGTCTGCGACACTGTCGCCACTTTCGAGGGCTGCTGGTGGGTCTCAGCGGAGTGAGGCACCGCGCAGATCTGAGCGAGACCTCGCCGTCCCCGGGGGGGAGCTGCGATCTGCGACACTGTCGCCACTTTTAGGGCTGCTGGTGGGTCCAGCAGAGTGAGGCACTGCGCAGATCTGAGCGAGACCTCGCCGTCCCTGGGGAGCTGCGATCTGCGAGACTGTCGCCACTTTCGAGGGCTGCTGGTGGGTCCAGGGAAGTGAGGCACCGCGCAGATCTGAGCGAGACCTCGCCGTCCCTGGGGGGTGGCTGCGATCTGCGACACTGTCGCCACTTTCGAAGGCTGCTGGTGGGCTCAGCGGAGTGAGGCCGTCCCTGGGAGGATGCGATCTGCGACACTGTCGCCACTTTCGAGGGCTGCTGGAGGGTCCAGCAGAGCGGGGCACCGCGCAGATCTGAGCGAGACCTCGCCGTCCCTGGGGGGTGGCTGCGATCTGCGAAACCATCGCCACTTTCGAGGGCTGCTGGTGGGTCCAGCGGAGTGAGGCTCCGCGCAGATCTGAGCGAGACCTCGCCGTCCCTCGGGGGTGGCTGCGATCTGCGACACTGTCGCCACTTTCGAGGGCTGCTGGTGGGTCCAGCGGGGTGAGGCACCGCGCAGATCTGAGCGAGACCTCGCCGTCCCCGGGGGGGGCTGCGATCTGCGAGACTGTCGCCACTTTCGAGGGCTGCTGGTGGGTCCAGGGGAGTGAGGCACCGCGCAGATCTGAGCGAGACCTCGCCGTCCCTGGGGGTGGCTGCGATCTGCGACACTGTCGCCATTTTCGAGGACTGCTGGTGGGTCCAGCGGAGTGAGGCACCGCGCAGATCTGAGCGAGACCTCGCCGTCCCTGGGGGGGGCTGCGATCTGCGACACTGTCGCCATTTTCGAGGGCTGCTGGTGGGTCCAGTGGAGTGGGGCACCGTGCAGATCTGAGGGAGACCTCGCCGTCCCTGGGGGGACTGTCGCCACTTTCGAAGGCTGCTGGCGCGTCCAGCGGAGTGAGGCACCACGCAGATCTGCGCGGGACCTCGCCATCCCTGGGCGGGTGCGATGTGCCCATTTCACTTCATCACTTCTGTATAACATGTCCCAGGCTACTCGTGCCCCGCCTTGCGCAGGGGTTGGGCACGTCGCCAGGGGAAGTTGGGCGCCTGATTCGAGCGGGTGGAGTCTCCCCCAGAGGCTGCACTCTTGCAAACAGTCGCACTAAGCAGAGGTCGGGAGCCAGATCTCCCCTTCTTCCCCCCTTGCCGCCCAATGTCGAAGCGCCGAGTACAACAAACAAAACGCTCACCTATCGGGCCACCAGAGAATGTTCTAGGAGCCTTTTGTGGTCCTGGCGAGATGCTTTCAGAGCATTTCTGGCTGCGACCGTCGATGTTCTTTAGCACCTCGGGCTGACGTTCTAAGAACATTGGTTTCTGTGATTCGAACATTGTTTGGCGTCTAAGAACATGTTGTGGTAGACCTATAGGGATGCCGGGACGGTCGGTCCCTACTCAAGGAGTCAGCATGTTCGCAAGAGTGACTAATCGTCGGATTGACCTTGGGTGCCCCTTGAGATCCCCGGGGGCTCCACATTGGTTTTCGAGCCAGGCGTCTTTGCGCCCAGTTTCGGGCCCAGGGACTCTTACGGATCGATCCGGCTTGGAGAATGGCACAGAAAGATAGGGTCTAGGGCTCCTGTCGTGATTTCTCACGATGTTTCAATTTTTTCGGCACGGCGTCTGTCGGCGGCGAAAACTGAACCCGACCCTGGCCGATCGACGATTCAGGCAACTCGATGCGCGGCGGAGATTGGGTTCGAAATTCGTCGAGCACGTGGCGGAATCCGAAACCTGCCCCCGCCAACCATCGAGTCAGGATAATCGTTGGTTGGTGGGGTAGGGTTCAGATGTCGCCACCTATGGAGGCCATGCTCAATCATGCAGGCAGCGTCCTTCGCATCGCGCGCAGCGATCAGCAAGCCGTGCGCCAGAGGTCACTCTTGCTTAGCGTCGCTCTTGCGTGCTGGCGGCGGAGGCGCTGGCGACGACGGCGGCGATGGCGTCGGCGGCAGCGTCGGCGGCGGCGGCGACAGCAATGGCGCCGCCGGTGGCGACGATGGCGGCATCGGCAACGGCGGCGACGGCGGCGACTACGGGGGCGCCGTTCTGTTCTTGTTTACCTTTCTCTCGAGCCTCTGGGAGGCCTGTCAGGGGGGACAGTGACCGACGACGACGACGGCGACGGCGACGACGTGGTCGTCGTCGTTTCCAGTGCTTCTGACGGTTCTCGTCGCCACGGCCGGGCCGGGCTCGAAGAATTGACCAGGATGGACCCCAGCAGGGGTCCAGGGGCAGCTTCTGAGCGGGCTTTGGTCAGACGACGGCGACGACGGCGGCGGCGACCACCACGACCACGAGGATTTGGGGCCTCTGTTCCGGAGGCCTTCTTCGTCTTCTTCCATTCTGGGCGCGTTGCCTTCCAGGTTAGATGCCGGAGACATGATTTGAGCCTGCTGGGGCTTGAGGAGGGAAGAGAATTTGGAGGCTTCCCAGCAGGTTCGAGGGCGTTGGTTCACAGGCGTTTGGAGGTTCCCGAGGCTTTTCGGGCATTTCTGGGCGTGCCTGGAGATGGCGAGGGGTTGACGCCTTCGGTGTGCCGTTTCAGAGGTTCCGGCGATCGGGGCCCAGGCATCTTCGGCTGGGCTGCGCACGCGGCGCGGTTCCACGCGCGGTTTGTCCGCCCACCTGTTCCACGCGCCCTCGCCTACAGTCGGGGCCCTGAAGAAGGAACCCTTTTCGTTGGGGAGGGGCTCCGCGTTCCTGAAGTGTTTCGCAGCTTGCCTCAGGTTTTCCTTATGTTTCCGATCGGAAATCGAAGCTTAACTAATGGAAAAAAGGGGCCTCGTTCCTTATTTTGGGTTCCTTAGGTCAAGGCCTCGACTGTAGCGCCCAGCGCAGTCGCCCTCGTCGTTTTGCTGCGCGACGTCTCTCTCGCGGGCAGGAAGCATCCGCATCCGCGGCTGAGCGGGCCAGGTCCTCGGGCCGCGGCCCCGCGGGTGCGCGGGGCGCTTCTTCGCGGCGGCCCCACGCGGAGCGGATCCGTGCGACCGCGCACCCGCGGGGTCGTGCCCCGGAGAGGCACGCTGACGGACTGGCAGGCCTTCGCGGCGCGTCGGCTGCTGCTTGCCTGCGGCAGCAGGGCGCTGCCGCCTTTGCGCACCTGGCATCGCTCGGACGTGTGCATTTTTCCTCGGCGAGGGCCATCGAGGAGCATCCTTGATAATTTGGCGAAAAAGCCACGCACGAAACCGAACAAAAACACAGTGAATGGACGTCCGAGCGATGGCCGGCGCAAGGGCCAGCAGGGCTGCGCGGCGCGTCGGCAGCTGTCTGCGGGGGGCGGCTCGACGCTGCCAGGGTACGCCTCGTGCCAGACAGCGCGGCAGTCGCGAGCAGCGGAGTGTAGACACCTTCTGCTCGTGCTCAGCCGCACGGCCACCCCGCTTGCGATTCGGTCCACCTCCGCTTCCAGTTTCCGACGGAGTCGACGATGCTGGTCACAAAACACAGCACCATGCAACGACTCCAGCAACGTGCAGTTAGGCTTGTAAGAGCTTCGGCCTCGAGGCCTGCAGACCTGCTTTCAGAAGAATGCGTAATTAGCATGTTGCTGGGCTCACAGTCCGCTGCGGTCAGCCAGGCTGTGACAAACGCTGAGCTGGAAATGACAAGGTGCTGATGAAGGGCAAATGTTTGCACCACTGCGGCGACCACTTGACCTGATACTTCTTGTTCGGTACCAGATGCGGCCTTTGCCGCGCGTTAGCCGTACCTGCGGCGGGACGCTAGACATGAGTCACAACATACTCACATGTATTGGTCACGGGATACCACTAAAGGTGCCCTTGCAGCCCTCTTGTAATCTTTTTTTCGGCGGCAGAAACGTGTAAGTGCATCATGGTGCCCGAGGGGTGTACATTTGCCCCCCCAACCGCTCGAACAACTCCACCACTCAGTGCTTACACATGTTGGATAGACCACGCACGCTTGAAACGTTTGTCTGCAGTGGGGCCATTTGTCAATGTCATGCTTTCGCGAGGGTCACACCAGGTTGCGTTCCTTGCTCTGTGGGGGCTGGGCGGTTGGCCACCGTTTTTCCACCACGGGCCGTCCATCAGTCGCGAGGCCTCGGAATCTTTGCAAGAATTTCCACCTCGGATCCCGCGATTCCATCGTGCTTGCAGAGCGATGCGGCGCACCAGCCAGGCACCGATGCATGATGCCTACAGGTCGCTCGCGGGGGCGCGACGGTGCGCGCGCGTCGCCCGTCGTGGTCTGGGCCGCCCGGGTGCCCTTCTCCAGGGCGCCCCCGCGAGGGCGCGAGGGTGACCGCGCGTCGCGGGGCGCGGCGTGCAGAGTTGGGTGACCCAGAGGAGGAAGCCTCACACCAGCGAGCGCTCGTACGCAGGTGATCTGGAGGAGGGAGCCCCGCGCCAGCGAGCGCGCGCGGAGTGCGCGGCCCCACTGCGCGACACTTGGTCGGCTGCCGTCTGTGGGCGGGAGGCACGGGCGGGTCGCGGTCCTCTCGAGTCCTTCTCCTCGTCGCCGTCGTCGAGACCCGCCCCTTTCCATCCAACCATCCCTGGCCGCTTTGGCGCAAGTCGATCCGGGGACTCCGGCCGATCGGCCCCCCCCCGCCGCCGGCCACCCGAGATCTGAGGGCCCCGCCGGGCCGGCCTGCGCCGTGCCATGGCCGCCGCGGGAGGGGGCCACACGGTCCTGCTGACGAGCGACGGCGCAGCCGTGGCCTGCGGCAGCAACGACTGCGGCCAGTGCGGCCCTCCCTCTCCCGCCGCAGGCCAGGTCTACGCGCAGGTCGCGGCCGGGTGGCTCCACGCAGTTCTGCTCACGAGCGACGGCACGGCCGTGGCCTGCGGCAGCAACGACTGCGGCCAGTGCGACCCTCCAGTTCAGGTCGCGGGCCAGAACTACACGCAGGTCGCCGCTGGAAGGATCCACACAGTACTGCTGACCAGCGACGGCACGGCCGTGGCGTGCGGCAGCAACGAGAGCGGCCAGTGCGACCCGCCACCGCCAGCCGCGGGCCAGTCCTACACGCAGGTCGCCGCCGGGGGGTTCCACACGGTCCTGCTGACGAGCGACGGCACGGCCGTGGCGTGCGGCAGCAATTCCAGCTGCCTGCAGCAAGCTCCGCCACCGGCTTCCAGCGCAGCATCAAAATCCATGCAGGGCGGTTCTACCAAGCTCTCCTCCTCCTCCTCCTCCTCCTCCTCCTCCGCCTCCCTCCTCCTCCTCCTCCTCCTCCCGCCTCCCTCCTCCTCCTCCTCCTCCTCCTCCTCCTCCCGCCTCCCTCCTCCTCCTCCCTCGCCCTGGGAGGCTCAACACACACGAGGCTGCCCGGGAGGCATGGCTGCGACATCTTGACCTGTCGCCTCTGTGGCGTTGCGAACTTTGGCCACCTTGGCGAGTTCTCGGGACGTTCTGGGGCCATCTTGGGGCAATCTTCTTGTACGGTGGGGGCGTTGGTTCAGGAATGCGCCCAGGAGGCTGCAGACCCTGGAGGATTCCTTATCTGATGAGGGCGGCGGTGATATCCATGGTCAAGCCTCGATTGGATTTCCACCGGCCTCCAGACCCTGGATTCCTTATCTAAGGGTTCCTTATCCAATGCCCCCACCGTAGCTGTCATGGTCCATCTTGAGGGCTTCTGCGGGCTCGCTGCAGCCTTCCCGAGGTGAGTTGAAGCGGAAGGGCATCGGAAGCAAGCAGGCACATATCAGGCTGCTGTCGATGCTGCATTGCTCGCGGCATCCCGATGTCTCGCTGGAGGCGTACTTGGGCGTTAGATTATCTCGAACTACCTGCGGGGCATCTTGAGCGTTCTGGGGTGTCGCTGGGCAGTCTTAGGTTGGTCTAGGGGCATCTTGCATTCTGATGCTCCGACCTACTTTAGCCTTGACCACCAGAGAGAGAATTTCGAGCACCAGGAAAGTACGAACTGAAGGGTTTTCACGTGTCGGCCCTGGAAGGCGACTGCCGTTCGACACTTCGCCAGCGCGTCGGGCAGACAACATTTCGATACTTTTCTGGGTACTCGAGATTATTCCCTACCTAGGCTCTGCCTAGAAGGGTTCTTACTCTCTAGCTTAAAGGGGCCGGGCAGTGTAGAACGCCCCGGGCGGTTCCCCCAGCATCCTCCCCGCGGTTCCCCCAGTGACGTCTTCTTAGCTTAGCGTTGCTTATCTCATCTTATCTTAACTTATTTCATCTTAGCTTAGCTTAGCATCATCTTAGCTCATGTTTATCTTAACTTAACGTACCTTCATCTTAGCTTAGCTTAGCTTAGCTTGGCTTGGCTTCGCTTCGCTTAGCTTAGCCTAGCTTAGCTCAGCTTAGCTTAACTTAGCTTAGCTTATCATAGCTTAGCTTAGCTTATCATAGCTTAGCGCAACGCAGCATAGCGCAGCGCAGCATTAGCACATCATAGCATAGTATAGCATAGCCAATCATATCATACCATAGCATAGCATATCATATCATAACATAACGCAGCATAACATGTCATATTATAGCATATCATAGCATAGCGCCGCATATCATATCCTAGCATAGCCTAGCATAGCATAGCATAGCGCAGCATAGCATAGATGTCGTTTCCTAAATGCTCCAACTCCTAGGTAGGGTCGCACTGGGATAATATTTTGGATGTGGCCCTTCAGTACGATGGGAACGACAGAAATCTTGCATCCCTTTTCGGGCGGTCCCGGGCCGTTCTGCGGCCGCGCACAGAAGCGGGCGCTGGCGTGGCCCAGATGCGGGGGCGATCCCAGCAGACTGGCGTGACGAACAAGGAGGGTCGGCCCCTTACTGCATTCCTCTCCCTTGCTCCAGGTCCTCCCTCCTCCTCCTCCCTCATCCCTCCTCTCTCCTCCCTCCTCCCTCCCCCCTCCTCCCTCCTCCAGCTACTCGAGGGGGTCCCCGCACTCGCTGCAGCGTCCACCCGAAGGCTGAACCTCACCTCTCCTCGCGCGTACCGCCGCCAGGAGATCAGCGCCTGGGATGCTGGCGCGGGCGACGAGTGCGCCCGCCAGGCCCGCGGCGCGGCTGTCCGCGCTTCGCGTCATCCTGTACAACCCCATGCCGCTCATAGAGCCTCAGAGGATCCTGGACATCTGGACTACTCTTCGCACGGATTTCGTGGTTCTGCCAGGGGCCAGATTGAGGGCGAGTTCGGGGACTCCAGTCAGCATAATGTCTTTTGGGAAGGGTGCCGTGGCGCCCCATGCAGGATGGGACAGAGGCCCCTGCGCCAACGAGCACGCTGGATGTACCATCGTGTTCGGGGGTGAGTTCAAAGTTAAACGTCTTAGGGCTATTACAAGGCTTCCATCGACTATGCAGGGGCGGGGGCTATCGATTAGATTACGAAACCAGAGCATGGACCTAAGTACCATCGCTACTTACATGCCGCCGCTGAGTGACGAATCTGCGAAGAAACGACGGGCCCAGGAGATGGGCTCCACCCAGTTGCTTTAACGGGCCGCGAGACAGCTCAGGGCTGTGCCGGCGAGATCGACACCGATATTCCCAGTGGCTTCGACACTCATATGGGCCTGAGGGGTGGCCTCCCGACGGTTGCCCCCCCCCACATCTCATTTCGACTGGTGGAGAGAGGAGAGCTTCCTGGCGTGCCCCATGCAACGCGGGCGAACAAAACATCGTAGGCGACGCGATCCAGGATGAGATTTTGGCACCCACGGAGATGTGCGAAACAGTAACCGCAGACATATTGGGGGGCCAACGTATTATGGACATGCAGTGAACAGCAGTGCGATATATCACATCGTTGTGCCGAAGGCGGTTTGAGAACATGTTCTATCTTGTCGAGTCTTGTGGCCGCAGGTGCGGATGTTGCAGGCGATTCCGAGCCGCGCCCCGAGAGATCATGTGCCAATTCTTCTCCGACTAACAGTATATCGACGATAGAGCAAGGCAGAACCTTGTTCGCAATGGGATCGGGACATGTTGGCGGCGGCTGTGCAGCGGGGCCAAGGCCGAGGACCCCTCTTGGAGGTGCTCGAGCAGAGGATGCAGCTCGTCTTGCCGCGGATCTCCCCCCTGTTCCAGCAGGGCCACGTTGATGCGGCGTGGAGATTATGGGTGGAGACAGTTGCAGAGATCGGCTTGATTCACTTCCAGCGCTAAAGAAATACCCAACCCAGAACTAACCGCACTGAGACGACGTAGACTGGATCTTGTTCGCCGACGACGGGCTACGAGAGGGATTGCAACAATGCGATTCACATCGTTCAGTTTCTTCAGATATGCTCTCACGGCCGGTGTTAGAACGCAGGAGGGGGCCCCTTCCCCGGGAGGCGGGGGCAACGGCGCGTGGGGAGCTTTGCGGGATTCGAAACCGAGGCGACGCAGATCAGAGTAATCAGATGTCCAAGTTGATTGACATGCCAGAGGTAGCTTGCAGCAGAGGAGGAGCCAGTACATTACCAAGTTCACATTCGACAGGTGCTACGACCGGCAGAGATGAGGCCGCGTCGCACCAGAGGCCCTTGAGGAGCATTTCGCCAGTCCTATCTGCGCCCGAGCAAACGGACCCAGAGTTGCAGGAGTTGCAGGAGATCAAGATCCGCCTTCGAAGGGGGGCTCGAGCACAGTGGCGCCGCGCGCGACGGAGGCTGGACGGCGAGATCGAGGAGGCAAACCGAGCTAGACGACATGTTGAAGTACATGAGCTATTCTTTCTGCTGGCAGAAAGAAGCAAGGAGGTCCACGGAGACGGAAATGCAACCTGCCGCAGACCTACGAGACGAAGGAGGAGTGGGCGGACCAGTTCAGCTTCTCCGCCGCGGGGGGAGGCATGGAGGCAGTCCCGCTGGACGTGGAGCGGATGCTGTCGCTCTTCTCTCAACCGCCGACACTTCCAGGAGAAGGGGAACAGGAACGACGCGCATTCTTCGGCCAGCGTGATTTTCATTTGACAATTCGACAGTTACGCAAGAGCCAGATGCGTCGGGCGGCCCCGCCGTGGAGTTCCCCCGTCGAGTTGCACCTAATGGCCGCCGACCCCAGGTGCCTCCCCGCGGGCCCTGAGGAGCACTTAGGCATTGGATGCGCACCGATTGGGGGGACTCGCATGGCAACATCAGCACGTATCCTGGAAGAGTTATGCATTGCATGCCGTATGATAGGACGTGCACCGAGATTGGGGGATCTTGCTTGGTCTATCCCCAATAGCTAAATTGAACGGCAAGGTGGGAATACGATCGACACGTCTGATCAAGGTGATGTGCCCGTGCTGGAAAAAAAGGTTTCTACGGAGGTCTGCTGAAACAATTGGACGTGCGTGCCCAGGGAGTTCGATGACCCGCTGAATGTCACGGATTTCTCTCTCGTCGTCGTCGGGGGGGCGCTATCGCAGTGCAGCTTTGCGTGGGCTTTAGGTGCCGCACGCAGCGCATTCCGCGCCTGGGCAACTTGCGCGACATGACGAATACCTTCGCATCCACTACAGCGCGAGCGCGTAGACATGCTATCTACACTCTTCGGACACGCTGGTGCACGGCTCACGCGCGCGAGATCGGAGACATCTGAACTTATCTTGATATTCGAGGAGGGCGCGGGAGACACCTGGGGGAACCCGAGGAATCTCGCTGCTCGACATCGTCGCGGGGGTCTGATGGGACCCAGAGATTCTTAGATGTGGGATCTTTTGGGGGCGCGCGCTGCGGGGCGGCGACGGTTTGCGCCGACAGCGTCTTTGATGACGTTCCCGTCGACGACGCGACGCCCGAATCGATCGAGACGACCCTAGAAGAACGCGATTCGAACTTGGATGAGGCGTTGGAGGAGGTGGGGGTTGATTCGGAAGTACAGTGAACGTGAAACGGCCCCAAGTCTCAGAAGCCACTGAGCGAATCAGCTTCCCCCCCCTTCTTTTCATTTCTTCACGGGGGTTCGCAGGTGGCAGAGCTCTTCCTCGCGCCAGGTATCTCGGTAACCGATGCGCTTGGAATTTGCCCAGCATGGGGGAGTTCAGGCACCGCAGCGCTGCGGCCCACGCTGGGCGGGGGGGAGATGGGCAACTCTGGGCGAGCAGGATTTCCAGGAGTCTGCAGACAGTGGCCTTTAGGGGCCACGTGGTGGAGGCGGCTTTATCCGCGAACAGGCCGTGTTTTTTTGTTGTTGTCGTTTTTTCCCCAACGGCTCAGACGCAACAGCTGGATGACCTGATTTACAAATACCTACGGGTCATGGAGACGGGTGGGGGGGGCAACGGAATGGGGGGGGCGAGCGCCCGCGCGGCCTCTCCAGTTCGGTGCTTCGCCGGAAGTGGCGACGGATTCCGGTCCGCCTCGAGCAGGCGGCCAGGAGATTCAGTTGGGCGCAGCAGATGGCCAGGGGCGCTGTCTCGCGCCGCCAGGCGATTGCTGCGATATGGGGCGCGCTACAGGATGGGGCCGAGAGCTTGGGCGCCGATGGCAAGCTCGCGAAGTCCGCGCCGCCGATCGGCATGCATATTGAAAAAATGTCTGGGCCTTCGCACATATCAGTGGATCGGAGGACTTCTTCGAGGCCTGGGAGAGATGGGGGCATTCTTGGAAGGCGTTATTCTTGGAGGAGGAGGAGGAGGAGGTTTAGACGTACTTGTCTACGGTAGGTTCAAGACTCTTACGAACTGCGGTTTTACATGATGGGGGGAATCTTGTTCTGTCTCGGCTTAGAGGACCCGCTCAGGCTCTTAAGGAAGATGGCGGGCCCCTAATGGATATTCGTAGACACGCGTGTGCGCGCAAAGACGAGAGTGGGGCATTCTGCTCAGTCATACTCGACGCACGTAGTGCCGTGTTCGCGCACCAGTCTCGATCGACAGAGGGAGAGCATGGGAAGTTAAATCAGTTTTTTTTTGTGATTTCTAACGTTTGCCCGCGGTGCCGAAGTTGTTTCTAGACCAGTGACGGCGCTCGACAACGCGTTCCTGCGGCTTCGCTAAGCGATCGATGTCGACTCCATGGGGCTGCCTTTGCGCGGGCCCCTGTTGCCCCGGAGTCATGCGCGTGCTCTGCGCGCGGAGAGGGGCGCGACACGTTGGAAGATTGTTCGGACCATGCAGTCGAACAGCACTCACCTCTTCCGGCCGTCGCCATTCTGCCCAGGTCACCGAGAGTGCGGTTGACGGCGACAGCGCGCCCCGCCGCTGACAGAGCTGCGCGCAT